TATATATATATATATATATATATATATATAAGGTTACATAAATGAGCCCATTAATCGTTTAGTTAATTAAATTGGGATTTAATTTTATTAAAATATTTCATTAATTAAGATAGTTAATTAGGATTTTAATGTTAATTTTAGTTTCATCTAATTTAAAGTTCATATTAATAAAAATTCCCCAATTCTCCAACTCATCGGTCTCTCAACATAATTTTGACAATTTTACCGGGTAATGTTGGTGACAGATTTTACTTCGCCCATTCTGCCCCCATTCGAGATAGGTTGTCGTGACATCAGGATATGCTGATGAAGAGGGATACATATGTCGAGGTATTCATTCGTTCACCTCAGTTATCTAATGGACCAGTTCACCCGGTCCATCTCCCTGGACCCGTGCGGGTCTACGGGTGGAGAAGGGGAGGCGGGCGAACCCGCTGGGAGCAAGGAGAAGCCACGGTGGGCCCATGACCTATTTGATCGAACGGCATCAGGGGGGGCGGCGGAATGCTGAGGGGGAATGGAGGGTTGATTTGGAGGGGTAGTTTAGGGATGTGAGGGGAATTTGGGATGGTATTAGGGGGGCAATTAGGGTTCAATTTTTCTTTATGCTAAGTGGAACTTTTCTCTTGTTTTCTTCTTGCTTTTTTTCAAGGGTTTATAGTGGGAGACCTTGTCCTTCTCGAAGTGGACAAACTTATCTTGTTTTCTCTTGGATTTTAATGCAATTGCTTTTGTTCTTCATCCCACTTCTCTTGTGATTGCTTTCATTTGGATTTGGTGGAGAAATCCTCTTCATTTGAGGGGGAATTAGGGCAAAACCGAAATTAAGAAACCCTAGGGCGTATCAATTTGGATGAGGATGTCGTCGGCAACCATACCGAGATATTCCTCTTCTTCGATCTCCTCATCCACTTCACGCAGGCGCCATCAGTCCCGCCATACTCCCACCGTCGTTGATAACTACGCCCCGCTCGAACTCCCTCTGCGATGGCGTGATCCGCCGCCGGAGTATCCGCTGCTCGAGCGTCCGTTGCGATGGCGCGATCACCCTCCGTTCCAACATCTTCCGTCTCCCAACTCCTCCCGTCCACGCGAGATGCAACAGGTCGCTGATCACAACCAGAGCAATGAGCTAAAGCCGTTCCAACAAATGTCCGCCGTCGCTGACGTCGACCCCGTCGCTGCAGCCGCATCCTCCCTCTCCACACCTCCCGCAACTCCTTCCACTCAGCAAAATCCCACGGCCATTGCGGAATCCACCGGGACGGAAAAGCTGCTGGAGGACGTCAACGTCCCCAACATTCCCCCATCGGCCAAGCTGTCGTCTCCACTGCAGGCAGCGTCGGAGACATTTTCTTCCCGTAAGAAGCCCACGCACGTTGCTGATTGTTCGATCGAAC